TTAGTTTAATTAATTAGGAATTAATTAAGTTATTTTGTTGTTAAATTAAGTTAATTAGTTGTTAACTAAATTATTTAATTGGTTGTTAGTTTAACTAATTGGTTTTAATTAAGTTATTTAGTTGTTAAATTAAGTTAATTAGTTGTTAAATAAAATACTTAATTTTTAAAAAAATAATCAAGTGTTAGTTTAATTAATTGAGTGTTAGTTAAGTTATTTACGGGTTAAAATAAGTTAATTAGTTGTTAATAAAATTAATTAAATATTATTTAAAATTTTTAATTAGGTGTTAGTTTAATTAATTTGGTGTTAATTAAGTTATTTATGTGGTAAAATAAGTTAACTAGTTATTTAAAATAAATTAATTAAGTGTTCAATCTATTTATTTATGTGTAATTTTATAATTCATACTTGTATAAAACCATTTGTTATATTATTTTCCATTGAGATTATTATTGAAGTATTCAGGTAGTTATACTTGAAATGTAGACAAAATTTAAAGTATTTGGCCTTTGATATTAGGGTGACACCCTAAGGATATGGTGTTACCGAAGAAATTACTAAGAAGGTATAAAGTCGGTGTCAATACTTTGCGATGGAGATGAGAGGATGGGACTAATTAATTTAGTGTTAAATATTTTTTCTATTAATTGAAAAATGTCCAGTTTAGAGGGAAAACTTTGCTGAAATTTTGTTAGAATTTTAATTAGTTGTAACAAACATTTGTATGATGTCCAATGCATAATTTTTAAATAACAATAACTAGTTATCCTGTTTTTTATTTGAATTTACGAGACAAAACTAATTATGAATTTGGATCATTCATGGATCGACTATAAATATATCAATGGTCTTTTAAATTAGTGTTTCATTGATGGGGTGAATGAATTTATTGCTTTGCCGTTAGTCATCTTGAGTGGATGGACAAAAATAAGATAAGATGTCCTTGTAAACTCAAAAAGTGTCAAAATCATAGTTTACGAAGATCCTAATACGATTAAGTACCATATGATGAAATATGATTTTTTGTTCGGGTATTATGTGTTGAGACATTATGGAGAAAGTGAGTCGGTGGTTTATAGTGATAAGTCGAGAAATTTTTTTAAAGCGGAACAAATCTTTGATGAATCTTCGGCCAATCCATATCACAAAATAGTGATGGATGCAATCGATCCATCATTTATTTACCTAACATTGACGAAGTCCCAAATCTTGATGCTTGGGTATTTTATGATTTGTTGAATACATTTAATAGAGAGATTTGATCCGGTTTAGAAAATCACTCACGGTTATTCGCATTGACATGTTTGTTACATCTAAAGTCCGAATATCATTTTTTGGATAGGCGTTACAAAGATTTATGTCAACCGATGAAAAACTTGATGCTTATTGATAACATTATACTAGAAGACTTTTACAATATGAAAAGGTTGGTGGAACCGATAGGTTTAATAGTTCAATGGATCTACAACTCTATAAATAGATGTATGATTTAATGGGGGGAAGATAGTGAGAGAATTACTTGCAAAATCCGTGTCCATTCTCGATTTCTAAGTCCTAGATGGGGGTTGGTTAGAGAAAATTATATCTTGTATAAAAAAATATATTATGCATCGAATGTCACAACTAATGACATGACATGGCACGCTGGACATGAAGTTGAGGCGAACGTCATGCGTCATTGCTCAAACTCCTTTGTATGGTGGCATTTTGATCAAACACATCCTACTTTTATATAAAAAATTAAGAATATCGGATTAAGAGTCTACACTTATGGATTTTAGTCTTTGGGTCCATTTGGATAATAATATTCTTCATGACTTGTAATTGTTATGCTTTATAATTTGCCACTCGTGAAAGTGTATGAAGAAAGAAAATATGCTTTTAACAATAATTTTCCTAGGATCAAAAAATTCAAAGATCAACCTAGATGTGTACTTGCAACCCTTTATTAAAGAGTTGATTGATTTGTGAGAAGTTGGTATGGTTACCAATGATGTGTTCTATAAGCGTAATTTTCAAATGTGAGCTATAGTCCTGCAGATGGTTAATGATTTTCTTGTATATTTAATGTTTTTTTTTATTATAGTATTGTATGTAAAACAACATGCCCTTATTGTGTTAAAAAATTTGATACTTTCAGCTTCGTAATGGGAGAAAGACATCTTAGTTTGACGAGTCATCGTAAGTTTTTTCCAGTAAAGTCATCCATTTAAAAGGAACAAGAAGGCTTTTAAAAGAAATACAGTTATCACGAGATAATTGCTTCCCGATTTAGTTTGGAACGAATATTTTGTATGAAATAAAAAATTTGATATCGATGAAAGTTACGAAAGACGATTCCGAAAAATGTAACAATAGTATATCTAGAGTTTATGATTGAAAGAAACATAGTATATTCTAGAATCTTCCATATTAAAGTTCCAATCCAATACATCATAATTTGAATATAATGCAAATTGAAAAAAAATATTTTTGACAATGTATTTAATACAGCTTATAAGTGTGTCAAAAAAACCCAAGACAATGCTAACTCTAAAGAAGAATTGAAACTTTATTATCAATGGCCAAAACTAGAAATAGATGAATACTCGAAAAATATCCTAAAGTATGTTACACCATAAACAAACAACAAAAAATACAAATGCTTGAATGGCTATAAATACACTAACTTTTAATTTTTTTCAATTAAATATATGAATTTTATTTTTTTCATTTGAATCCATCAATTTATTTCGAAACTTCCAATCAAGTACTTTAGTCAATTTTTTTTTTGTTAACCGATAACATGTCCGTTACTCTCAAAATACCAAATTATAATTTTATCTTTTTTCTTAATCAAATACATGAACTTTATTTTTTTTTTGAGTACATTAATTTTTTTGAAACTATCAATCAAGTATTTTCATCAATTTTTTCATCAATTGATAACGTGTTCAAATACGAAATTATAATTTTACTCTATTTTTGTTGAAGAAAACTTTCTCTCTAAATTATTTTACTATTTTAAAATTTCACAAATAATTAAAAAAATATTATTTGTATATATAAAATTTCAACCTAAACTTAGTTAGATTATTGTTTTAAAAAAAAAACTCACTTAAATTTAAGAGTGAAAATTGAAGAAAAATACAAATAAATCTTCTTGATGAATTATTTCACATTTCTTTTTTCTTTAACTTTCACGTGCAAAACCTAATTGCTTTTTTATTTTTTAATAGCGATTCTAACTAAGTTGAGTTCGAGATTTTATAACTAAAAATAACTTTTTTTTTAATTCTTTGTCAAATTTTAAAATTATAGAATAATTGGAGGAGAAAGTTCCTTGTAACAAAATAGAGAAAAAAATGTAATTTGGTATTTGAACACATTATCAATTGCTAAAAAAATTGACGAAAGTACTTGATTGACAATTTTAATAAAGTTAGTGTACTTAATCCGAAAAAAATTAACGTTCATGTACTCTATTGAAAAAAGACAAAATTATAATTTGGTATTTTGAGTCAATCTGAAAAAAAAACTAACAAACACGTTATTAGTTAACGTAAAAATTGATGGAAGTACTTGATTAACAATTTTGAAAAAATTAGTATAGTCAAATGAAAAAAATTAAAATTTATATACTTTTCTTAGAAAAAGGTCAAAAGTTTGTATACTTATAATGTAATTATCCCATTCAAGCATAGAAACATTTTGCAGGCATTAAGGTGACTTTTGATGATATCTATCATGGACTAAAACGAAAATATCTATAAAGGTGACATGTAGAGGAAATGCATCTAGTTAGGACTATAAATGTATTGAATCTTGATCCGAATTCGACTCGAATCGATGTAATTAAATGGATTTAGTAAATAATTTTTTTTATCCGAATGTGATTATGTTTTGAATCTATTAATCATTTATTAAATGGATCAAATTTGGATTTACCTTGATCCAATTTGATAATAATCTCACCCAAAATTTAAAATAATATTTTATAATAAATTTTAAAATATTAAAAATTTAAATATGAAACCCGGTTAAAATTTAGAGTTTATTTATTATAAAGTTCAAATAACGCATATTTTTTAATAGTGATTATTGTATTTTTAAAAAGTTACATATAAACTTTTTGTCATTTTTAATTCAATTTCGTGAAAAGAAAATTATAAATTGACTTATATACGTTTTGAAGAGTTGATGTTATTATATTTGTTACCATTTTTTTTACCACATAGACAAAAGATAAAAATAATTTATTGTTTTTTTCTTCTAATTTTATTATACTTCTTATTTCATTCAAAACAAACTTTTATTAAAATTATTTGATTTTGTACCTTTGAATTGTGTGACATTTTTTATTTTTTTACGAAATTCATAAATAAGATATTATCTTAATATATTTTATTATACATATAGTGGTTGGAATATATTTTACATTTGAACAATATATAAAATATAATAAATATAATTTTTTTTATAAAAATCAAGTGATAAATTAGATAGAGTTTCGAATTAGATCCATATTTGTTAAGATCCGGATTCAATTTCATATTTTTTAATTTTAATTTTAATTTATAATATTTAATCGATTTGTTAGATTCGGATCTATTATTCAATTCGTTGATAGCCTTACAAGGATTAGTCCAAGAAAGAAAAAACGTAGAGGGACCGCGTTAAAAAATCAAGACAATAGAAGAGCAAATGCACCCACTTTTTTCCGAAAGAAAACGGACGCACCTGTGTTTTGTACTTGGCCTTAATTTGTAAGCAGCTTTTTCATTTTCCATTTATTATTATCATTTCTATTCTAGCTCTCTCTCTCTCTCTCTCTCTCTCTGTTAAAAAAAGTTATTAATAATATAATATCATATATATATCAATATCACTGCCCAAACCCCATCTTACCATAACAAAATCTCTCTCTCTCTCCTTCTCTCTTTTTCTCTCTCTAAAATCTCACACCCAAATCTCAGAGAGAACTCTCTGTTCCTCCGATCCCTTTCTCATCTTGGTTTATGAGGTATATGTATACATCTACGTAGAGATCCGTACATGTATAAACACATACTTGCCTTGGATCTCTCAAGATTCATTATTACTCACCGATCTGTTTCTTTTAATCGCTATTTCCTATAAAACTTCATTTTCTTTTGGTTTTAGGGTTTTTAGAGCACAAAGATTTGGTTCCAAAGCCAATCATTTTTTTTTATATTTCTTTATTATTTTGCAGTTCAATAGTATGCTTTTCACTTTTTATTACATTTGATGATATTTGTACTGTTCTTTTAGATTGTTGATTTTGTATTAGAAAATTCAGATGCTTTTTCTTTTCTATTTCTGATCGGTTTTATGTTCTTTTTCTTATTTGCAGCTCGAAGGAGAGACCCACTCTTGGGTGAGTTTTTTTTTATTCCTTTTATATTTGCTATTTCCCAATTAAATTATTGGTCGTGTTCATGTATTCCATAAAAAAAATTGCAATAATTAGTTGGAGAGTTTAAACCAGCTGTTCTTCTATCTCCTGGATATCGCTAATCACAACGATTAGGTTTAGCACTATCACTAATTAGTTGTAGCTTTGCCCATTTTTGGTTGCCTCCTTTCACTAGTAAATAAAAATGGTTCTGATAATTCTTAAAAAAGAAAAGAAGAGTTCTAAAACACCCGGGCTACGTCAGGAATAAAAAGCGTAGACATTTTAGAGATCGACAAATTGAATTTGAGCTGCAATACCCTCAATTTGCAATTGAAAGGAAAAAAAAAGTTTTTTTAAGAGTTTATGAGAGATAAAAACTCAATATTTTGGTTTTTTTTTTTTTTTGACATCTGGTATAAATTTTCAGGTTGAGCTTCTACAAAGTGAGATGAATCACTAATTCATTTTTTTTTTTCCAAATACTTAAAACATATGCATGATTTTGAAATGAATACAAATTAGATATTTTTAACTTGTATTCAAATATAAGAATTGATTTAAACCATTTTTTTATTTATTATTTATTTTTTTTGTATTGTTTTTGAATGGCTAAGTACCAATACCGATCTAATTGCAGTCTCGAATTAATGCCTCTTGACTCGAATTTTCTATGTTCAGTGGCACGCGGATTAAGACCCGCAAACGGAATATTGCTGCGCCACTGGACCCTGCAGCATTTGCTGATGCAGTGGTCCAGATTTACTTGGATAATGCTGGTGATCTGGTAATTTCTTTTCTTTTTTTTTTTCTAAATCTAAGTTACATTAACCACCTTTTCTTTTATGTCTCGTTTGAATAAGCATGACTGGTTCATATTCCTAGCTCTAATCAAAATTCTTTATGTGCAGGAACTTATTGCTAAGAGCATTGAATCTTCAGACCTTAACTTCTCAAGATACGGAGACACCTTTTTTGAGGCAAGCACTTCATTTATTATATAGAAGGTTCAAATTGTCAATGTCATTTCTTTAGAATGATCCAAAATCAAAGGAAACATTTCTTTGCTAGTTTTATTGGACTTTTTTTTTTTAATCAAGAATTTTGATCCTATTGAAAAAATAGATTTTGGGGGAAGTTATATGTTTTCTGCTTATTCTTGCTGGTGGTCTATGCGTAGCACATAAAAGCAGCATCTTGCTAAAGAATACAGGGGCAAATATTTTGGATTTGCAAGTGCGGGACTTTACTTTTGCAGGAAATGGGGATTTAATAGAATCGTGCTGTAATAATTCTATAAATTACTTTTGAGTTGCAGTTTATTTATTGTAAACTTGATTTTTTCTTTTCAAAATGCCAAAGGAATTTTTGTCGGGAGCTGTAATGCATCAGCTCAACATTAACAAAGATGCTAATCTATGTAATATATGGCAATAGGTTTCCTAACAACTGTCTTACATGTTATGTTTAGAGGAATTTTGGATCTGTTTAGTGCTGTACAATTCCAATAAAAAGCTTACATCGTATATCCAGTGAATGCTATCGATAACAGCGTCTTCATATTTTCACCTGAAGTGAATTCTTAAATTCTCACTCAATTTAATTTATCATATACATGCAGGTTGTTTTCACAGGAGGCCGTACCCAACCTGGGACAACAAAACCTGATGAAGGGGAGCGCCATGCTTACTCTATAATAGATTGTGAGCCTACACGGGAACTCATTTTACCTTCTGTAATCTACATACAGAAAATTCTGCGGCGCAGGCCATTTCTCATCAAGAATCTCGAAAATGTTACGCGAAGATTCCTGCAGTCACTGGAACTATTTGAAGAAAATGAAAGGAAGAAGCTGGCCATTTTCACAGCACTTGCATTCTCCCAGAAATTATCTGGGCTGCCACCGGAGACTGTTTTCCAGCCAATGCTTAAGGATAACCTTGTGGCCAAAGGGATAGTTCTCTCATTTATAACAGACTTCTTCAAGGAGTATCTGGTTGATAACAGCCTTGATGATTTGATTTCAATTCTGAAACGGGGAAAAATGGAGGATAACCTTCTGGATTTCTTCCCATCTGCAAAGCGATCTGCTGAAGGTTTCTCTGAGCATTTCACGTGAGTTTTTCCCCACTTCCTTTTTGATAATAGAATGAAATAGTTTTAGAGATAATTTATAATTTTCTTGTAATTTTTAAAATATTTTGTATTTCTAAATGCAAATCTACACTTTGTAATGCTGAAATCTTGCGTTGTTGCATGTCTGCAAAAATATATTTTTTGGTACATGTAGATTCTGCTATATATATATATTTGAGTTACTTTATGTTGAAAATTGCTGTTCTGTTTGTCATCTGTTTAACTGTCAAATTACTGTCATTTGTGATGTGTGTTTGGATTATGGCTTCCTCTATGGTCTTTTCTAGAAATGGAATGTCTTCCTGTCAGTTGGAAATAGTAAGATCTCATTGTTTTGAAAATAAATAATAATAATAATAATAATAATAAAGAATACAATTTTAGTGGTTGAATTTGGAAATTGGCAAAGATATTTGTGGTCAATGGGGTGTTGCTTCATTATCTTGGAATTGAGTAGAGCCCGACATGTTTTAGAGTTTCTGATTGGGGTTGAATGGTTGTACTCATTTAATCGTAATGATTTATTTTGGTGAAAAAACTACTTGCTGAGATAACAAAGGTAATTTTTAGATGCTCTGCCTAATACAATATTTGGGCCCAACATGTGGTATAATTTTTAGATGCTCTACCTAGTACCATATTTGGGCCGAACATACGGTATTGTCAGTGTGTTGAGACGTGGTTTTTTTTTTTTTTTTTTTTGTGTATTTTTAAGTGCATTAAATGTCTATAGAAGTTTTGATGAAAAACGTCAGTCAGTTGACATCCCTTGACAAAATGTTAATGAATTTCTACTTGTAGCTTAAAGCAGAAGAGTAGTGCTGTTTCTGTGCCCTATGAAAATCTGGCAAAGAAAAAGATTATTAAAACGTTAACATTAAAATATTTGATGTGATGCTGTTTGTTTTTGGCTCATGATATGTGTCATGCAAGTTTACGGATAACTTTTCTCCATGAAAACTTTCTCTTGCATGTTTTAAATTTTGAGATACTAGTTTTTCCCAATTGTCATTGTACGTTCTTTGGCTTATATGTTCTAACAATGCAACCAAACTCTACTCTTCACTTAAGATGGAAATGATTTATAAGAGTGTAAGAATGATAAATTATGCACAAATAAATTGTCTTTATAATTGCATGATAACTTGTTCATCTAAAAGTCTCTCATGTGAATAGTCTTTATGCTTCCCTAGCACTTGTTTTTGGCATGCATTGTGTCTTTCATCAGTAATATTTATTTTTTTCACCTACAATCTGGAACTTATCCATATCTAATCATTGTTGATTTTCAGCAAAGAAGGGCTGATACCTTTGGTTGAATATAATGAAAAGAAAATATTTGAGGTGAAGTTGAAGGAAATGAAATCTGCATTAACAACTCAGATAGCAGAGGAAGCTGAAATGTCTGAAGTCATAGAAACAGTGAAACAACGAGTTAAAGACGCTAAGCTACCTGACATTGAAATTGTGCGTATTTTGTGGGATGTATTAATGGATGCTGTTCAATGGTCTGGGAAGAATCAGCAGCAGAATGCCAATTCAGCTTTGCGCCAGGTATGGCTTAAGTACAACATTGTTTGTGATTTGTATTATGAAAGGCATTGAGGTAATTTTAAATTAATCCGTGCACTCATGTTGATGCAAATGAATGAATGCTTTTCCGTTGGAAAGGAAATTTACTGGATGATGAAGGATGGCTTAGAGGGGCTGTTTGAACAGTAACATAATTGTGTTTTAGGGGATTTTAGGCTTAATCTTTGATGTGTAATTGCCGAAAGGGTTGATTAGGTATGTGGGCAGAGGCTTTTTGGGGGCTATTGATGTGTGTTTTAAGGCTAGATTGGCGTGTTTTTTCACCTCGAATGTGAGGATGTATGTTTTTTCATCTGGAATGTGAGGATGTTGGATAGATTTGTAGGAGTCACACCTAGGAGGAGAAAAACCTAAGCTTTACACCTAGAATTCTTAAGAATCACACATAAGAGAATTGAGTTGCTCAATCAGAAGTAAGTTGCTGGAAATTTTATTCATAATGGCTCTTTGTCTGTATTGGATGATTGCATAAACCTTTACATAGGAGTTCCTAGTAGTCTCAAGTCCAACAAGGACTTATTATCCTATGTAAAAAAAAAAAAAAAACTATTATTTCTATTTAGAATAGGAAAAACCTAGTAAAGCTAGTTACTTTAGAACTAATAAATACTAATAGAAACAAAACCTAGACCTAGACAATTACAGGTTTTCAACGAATCTGGAAATTACAGAAATACTCATCTACAAAAATACAGTAATTGTCATCCTTTACATAACTAGTTTTGATCCAATTTTTTCTTAATACTTTTTATACTTGCAAGCAGTTTTCATTTGTTGATCACATTTTTCTTCAAGTTCCATGAGTTTATTTATAAATTTCTTGTTGTCAACATGACTAGTTTGTTCTGTACAATGTGAAGTTTGATTCATGTGGAGAATTTTTCTTTTCATGACATACTTAGTACATGACATGGTAGGAAGGTTTAGCCCTAATGATTGATTTTTCCTCAGTGGGTTGTCTTTTCCAGTGTCATATAAGAAAATTTTAAAATTTCACAGTTCATTTTTTTATTTTTTTTCTGTTTATCAATTGGTTTGAGTTATAAGTTACATTGAAATCTCAAATGCCAGTGTGGCCATTCTTGTTGACCTTTTGCCTTGCAATATGTTTCTGTTTTTGCTGGGGCTACATTTTTGTGAACTTCCAAATGCTTTCACATATCCTGTGTAGGTAGACTACATTACCTTATTTCATTATGTAGTTTGGTGGACTAATTGTATTTATGTGAAGAAAAGGAGAACTGGGGTTTAAGAATCTTGCGTGTTATCTGGATACAGTTATTTAAGTCTGAATTTTCCTATCAACCTCTGGCAACATATCAGTTGCTTATTGATTAGGTCACAGGTTGTAATTTAATGAAATAGTCCTGCCTTGGTGATGGGTTTTCTTTTCATCAAGCAGGTAAAGACATGGGCGAAACTCTTAAATACTTTCTGCACCAATGGCAAACTTGAGCTGGAACTTGTGTACAAAGTTCAGATGCAATGCTATGAGGATGCTAAGCTGATGAAGCTATTTCCTGAGATAGTGAGGTCCCTCTATGATCAGGATGTGCTTGCAGAAGACACCATTCTGCACTGGTTCCGCAAAGGAACTAACCCCAAGGGCAGGTATGCAAAGCTTAATTCATTTCACTGGATCAGGCAAACATGCAAGGCTTCTGTTAACTGAAAAAAAAAAAAAGAAAAAAAGAGGAAACCTTCTGGCCTAGGGGTGCTGTGTAATTCTCTTCATTCCTTCAAAGTCTCTCTACTCTTTGCATCTTGCAATGGCATTAAGTTCTATATTCTTTAAATCACTTTGTTCTCTTAACAATCTGAGGAGATCAATAAAGCATACGATGAGATGAAGTCTTCATTTGTAGCACAATATTAATTAGAAATAAAAAAAATATAAGACCTGTTATGACATCTTTCAAACTAGTTGTAGCACAATATTAATTAGAAAAAAAAAAAAAGACCTTTTATGACATCTTTCAAACAAGTTGGAAATGCGGTATTTAACCTTCCATGTGGCATGGAAAGGTGAGTGGCTTGGTACCATACCAATACAATGCATTTTTGGTTAGGTCTTCTGAATATTTAGAATGAGTTTAGACTTTTATATTCTTAATCTGGCATTTCATTCTGCAGTAATTAAGCTAATATTTCACTTGGTTCTTGGGCAATGTTGCAGGCAAACCTTTGTGAAGGCCCTGGAGCCCTTTGTTAAATGGCTGGAAGAGGCCGAAGAAGAGGAATAGATGCAGCTGGATCAAATGTTCCACCTCCTTTCATGTTTTGTTAGCTATCCATTCCTGAGATAATAATTACTCATAAAATTTCCAGCTTTCATAACATTTGGTGTGCCTGTCTGTTGTTGATAATGATGATGATAATACCATTTATGGCTTTAATAAGTACGTGCAATAATCAAGTACTGCTTTATATGCTCTGTTTTCCTGCTGATGCGATCTTTTTATGCATGTTTTTGTTGCATGTGAGAGGGCTCTAACCATCTCTCTCAGGTTGAGCTGCCACCTCATTGGCATTCTTTGCTTATTTGTCTAATTACTTGCGGGAAATTACCCAGATTAGTTTCTTTCCCCTTAGTACTATTATATTGCCAGAGGAATTTGTTGAAAAATGATTGCTGTGGTTGAACTGAGAAGAGTAATTTGCATCCTGTCTCATGTTTGAGGAGAGGAGATAATGTGCATGCACTGATGCAAGCAACTTTTATAATTTGCGAACTGCACCTAATGTGCGGCCAATTAAAGATTATAAATTAGTCCTTCTGGTAATGAGAAATAAATTAGTTTCTTTGTTTCAAAAATTAATTGCTTTGATAGTATGCTTAATTAAGAAGATTATTAATTGTTATATTATATCAGTGTTTTAGAAAAGTATACTTAATTATTTTAAAACAAATATAAATAAATAGATACTATTTTTTTTTTAAACGATGGAAGGTTTATTACTTTATTTAAGCATATGTATTTTTCATCATTTTTTCTATAATATCAATTTTTGTTTTACCTTTTTTAAAAAAATAATTGGAAAATACTAGATCATTATTTTTTGAAATAAAAGAATTACTTTAACTCTCTTTTTGAAAAAAAAAAAAAAAAAAACCGAGGGCAGCCAGACAGGGACCCTGAACGCACCGTTTCACAAACAACAGAAATCATTGATTGCATGAAAAAGATGGGATCTCCTTGGTAATTGCATCCCACAAGCAATTTTTCGGTCGAGTAACCAAAGCTTTTCTCCGTACCAAAGACAACGCACCGTTTCTGATGTTTATTTCGTGTTTAAGAAAAAAATCAACGAAATTTGATTTTAAATCAAAGAAAATTAATAAACTATTTTGCACAAAGTGACTTCTAAGCTAAAAAAGAAGAAAACATTTCTTTTTCTCGTGAGTTATTTTACTCTCGTGTTACTCACTTCTCTCATCGGATATTTCAACAATTTTTTTCTCTTTCTCATTTTTTATTTAAAATATATCAAATTAATTTTTAATCATTTCTTATCAATCATTTAATTATTTTTTCTTTATTTCTACTAGCATTTGATTTTTTGATTTATAAATACATTAAATATTCTTAAAAATCATTTTTACACCTTAAAATTATTTTTATAATAAATATTTTAATAATTTATCTCTATTTTTTTTTTATTAACTCAAACACCACTTGAGCTATACTTAAATGATTGGAATTGATTATTACAAGACTACAATCATTTATGAAAAATTTGAAACTAATTAATTTATTAATAAATACATTATTTTCCTAACACTAAATCAATAATTTGTAACTAATTTTAATCAGTTGTAAAATTTTGTTAGTAATTGTAATCAATAATGTTACAAATTGTTCTAACATTAATTTTTTAAAACCAAATTAATAATTATCTACAACCGATAACTAATAATTTATAGAGCTAATTTTAAACTAAATTATTAATTCAATTTATAAGAAAGGAAAAAGAAAAAGAATTCTTAATTGAGTTATCAAAATAACAATGTTAGGATTACTTAGATTTTTTTTCTTTTACTAAATATGTATATTGACTTTGATTGACAATTTGAATATTTTGTGGATAACCGACACTTTATTAGTTAACGTAAAGATTGATAAAAATATTTGATTGACAGCTTTAAAAAAATTAATGTACTCAAATAAATTAAATTAAAGTCCATGTGATGGATTGAAAAAAAGGTAAAATAGTAATTTGATATTTTATTAATGATAGACACATCATCGTTTAATAAAAAAAATGACAGAAGTATTTCATTATCAGTTTTGAAAGAGCTGGTGTACCAGAAAAAGAAAAAATAAAAAAAATAAAATCCACACAGTCAATTGAACAATAAAAATAAAAATTGGTGTACTAATAGTGCAATTATCCCCTTGATAATACAATGGAGCAAAATAAGGAAATTGAAAGTTGAGAGGTTTAGTTTAAGTTGACCAGAAGTAGAAGCACCATGAAATCTCGAGCTGGAGTCTCTCCTTTATAACCCAAAAAGATATAGAAGCATTGCAATGGTTTGGTCTGGCCCACTTTACTTCAAAGACCCGACCCACGTATCATCCATCTTTTCCCGTGCCTTGCCTGCAACTGTAAATGTAACCTCTAGTCTTCTCTAGTCTAGCTGATTAGCAGTCGTAAATAATAAAAACAGGCTAACGGCCTAACTCAATTCAAAACTGAAATACAGAGCGCCATTGAATCAATCTATCTTATATTTTTTTCACAGTAACAGGATCGCTGTAACTGACTCCATTTAGTTCGTCATTTTTTTTTTTTTAATTTTGAAATTAAATTACTATATAAAAAATGGTTCTCGGTTTGGGAACCAAATGCTACTTTTACTCTTCTCCCATAATCTGCAAGTCCACTGCTAAAAACAACCACGACCATGCTGCCTATTCTCGGGACGCCTCCTACATCAAACGCGCCGCCGAAATCGCTGACAATTCCGCCGGATTCACCTCTCCCCATCCCAATTTCGGGTGCGTTATCACCACTTCTTCCGGAAATGTCGCCGGAGAGGGCTATCTGTATGCGCAGGGGACCAAGCCTGCGGAGGTTCAGGCGGTGGAGGCTGCGGGCAGTTTTAGCAAAGGCGCCACTGCTTATTTGAATATGGAGCCTGGTGATTGCCATGGTGACCACTCCGCTGTCTCTGCTCTAGTTCAGGTCCTTTCCCTTCAATTTTTAATTTTTTTTGATGGTAATATAAAAACAATGTTATATATTATTATTATTATTTTGTGATGATTAGATTTATTTATTGTGATGTAGCAATTTGATTGATTGACATTTGTGTAGATTAGGCAGGAATTGCCAGAGTTGTGGTTGGAATCAGACATCCTTTGCGGCATCTTCAGGGCAATGCTGTACGCGCACTAAGAGGTCAAGGTTTGCAGGTTGATGTTGTTGGTGAGGATCTCCAGAGTAAAATTATGGAGGTAAGACTTTTGTTTGCATGTATGTAAAAACTACTCACGGGATTGATTGAAGCTGTATGTCACTCTTTTGCATATCTACTCTAGCTTCTTAATTGATTATAACATTTGCTAAGTTGTATTTGGCACTCATATGTTGATGCAATATATTCAATTTTTTCTTTTTGGCCAAGTTTTGCTAACAACGGCTTTTGTAAAGTACAGTTTCATGACATAGAAGCAGATTGGTTCCTGGTGAATGGATGCACCGAGATTGAATGGGAAAAAGAAATTAAATCTCGTTAGGTCAGATTATCCAACTTTGGAACGACAATTCATTTGAACAAAAAAGAGAGGGTGGACGAGCAAGCCTAAACACAGTTTTTCCAAAAAGTCATTTATGGACCTGTAACTGTATTTTGGGGTGAAAAAAGAAAAAAAATAATTAGTTCTTCTATTGGATGCATAAGTTGTCTCCAAAAAAAAAAAAAAAAAAAAATAGAAGAAGAAGAAGAAGAACTTGAGATATTCATAGTGACCATCAAACATATAATATGATAGATAAGTACAGATTGCCAATTCAAGTAGCTGAAGTCAATTAGGTTATTGAGTTGCTTGATTTTATGGTCTTGATTCATGTAATGGTCTTGATTCAAGTAATGGCTGGTGGATTATTAGAACTTGAAGAGCTACAGTAGGCTTGCTTTGAATTTATATGAAAAGATTATATGCAAAAGGTTTGGCAACTAATGTTTTCATTTGGCATACTTATTAATGTGAATTATTTTTTGCATATGTGTTAAATTTAGTGAGACATGCTATATTCTCTCTACCATTACACTACGTAATGCAGGAAGCTCGAAAATCTTGCCTACTTGTGAATGCTCCTTTGATTCATCGAGCTACTTCTCAAGTTCCGTTCTCTGTTCTCAAGTATGCTATGACTCTTGATGGTAAGCGTTATGAAGATACAGAAATCTTATTGATTCTTTGGCTAAATAGTACAAGCACCTCTTGACCTGTAGCCTATTTTGATTGACAGCCTCTGTATTATTATTATTGTTCTTATTATTATCATCATTTTTCTCATTTCAACCCTCTAAACTATAAGGTGTTTTGATTGACACTCCTGTTATATTCCGTCCAACCTAGCCATTGAATATCACATGCAAGTCACATATTTTCTTTAAAAAAAAAAAAAACTCAAAAGAGTCATCAAACTATTGAGGATTAATTTCTCAATGATAATTTTATCATATTATAAATGATGTTTTTATCACAATATTGGTGGAGTTTAATAAATTTAATGTATTTCTACTGTTTTTTTAATGATATTTTGATATTTTATGAGGAAATATATTCAACTCACGTGTTATTTAATAGGAAAATGGATGAATTGTAATAGAAGGCGTCAATTAAACACCTTATAGTTAATGGGTTGAAATCAGGAAAAAAAAATAAAATTTAAGGGGTGTCAATCAAAATAGCCTAGAGCTCAAGAGGTTCTTGTACGGATTAGCAGATTCTTAATTCTTTTTCAGAATTGATGGTGAAGTTTTATTAAAAAAAAAAAAAATTGTGTGGGTGTAGTAAATTATTTTTTCAAATTACTTAAAAGGACTCCTCGAACTTTTGGTAAAAAATTCTGACAATAGTCTTCTTGGATGCAAAAGGAAAAATTGCTACTACTAGTGGACATGCATCATGGATAAGCAGCAAGAAATCAAGGGATCGAGTTTTTGAACTTCGGGGTAGAAGTGATGCCATTATTGTTGGAGGAAATACTGTACGCAGGGACAGTAAGTATGATCGTTATTTTTTGACTTTGTTATCTTTTTGCTGATTGCTGATTTGATGCGGTATTAATTTGTTTTTTGAATTAGATCCACGTCTTACAGCCAGGCATGGAGGGGGGCATACGCCTATACGGATTGTAATGACACAAACACTTAATCTTCCTGAGGAGGCAAACCTTTGGGACATTTCTGATGTTTCTACCATAGTTTTGACACAAAGGGGTGCCAGAAGGAGCTTCCAGAAATTACTTGCATCCAAAGGAGTTGAAGTAGTTGAGTTTGATATCCTAAATCCAAGAGAAGTTATGGAATACTTTCATGATCGTGGGTATCTTTCCATATTGTGGGAGTGTGGAGGGACACTGGCAGCATCTGCTATTTCATCTGGTGTGATACACAAGGTTCCTCTTTTCCTCTTTTTCATTTTTTTTTTAATTCTCTTTCTGAGGTATCATATGTCTGTGCACAAGCTACCTTTTGGATGTTTCTGTATAAACTAGAAGATTTTTGCAGGAGATTTGGTGATGCAGCCCAAGTGGTAGACTTTTGAGGAATACTTATTTTAGAAAGAAATATAGAGTTTAATTTTGATATTCTAGTTTATTTATATTTTCAATTTTTATTAGGACTTGTTTTATTGGGTACCTATAAAGCAACCTAGGCAGACATTCCGTTTCATGTGTCATTCTCGTTGGTGATTTTGGTTTCTATTCTACAGCAACTCTCTTTTGTTGGTGATTTTGTTCTTTGGTTTAGTTTTCAAGGAGGCTCAATTTTTTCAAATGGTCACTGAAGAAAATAATTTTTGGGAAAATAATTTCTGTATATTAATTACACAACTACGGATATATATATATATATATATATATATATATATATATACATACATAGAGAGTCCTAAGATAGGAAAGAATAGGAAAATAGAATAGGATCCTTACGAGTAGGAAAGAATATACAAAATATTTTCTATCTAATTATATCCCGATATTTCCTACGCTCCCCCTCAAGCTGGTGAATATAGGTCTTCCATTCCCAGCTTGTATATATTTTCCTGAAATGCATGACTTGTTTAATCCTTTTGTTAGAACATCCAACTCGAAGATCCGTAGGAACATATGGAGTACAAATTAATCCACTGTCGAGCTTTTCCTTAATAAAATGTCTCGTCCACTTCTACGTGTTTAGTTCGGTCATGCTGCATCTGGATTGTGCGCTATACTGATGGCAGATTTATTATCACGAGTAGAGCTTCATTGGACCACACCATTCAAATTTCATATTTTCCAAAATGATTTTAACCCACAATAGTTCACATATACCTGCTGCCATTGCTCTAAATTCAGCCTCTCGCACTTGATCGTGCAACCACATCTTGTTTTTTACTCCTCAAAGATATCAAGTTTCCTCCAACAAAAGTACGGTATCCCGTAGTCGATCTTCCGTCAACCGGAGAACCCGCAAAGTCAGCATCCGTGTAAATTGCTAGATCAATATTCTGTTTTTTCTTAAATAGAAATCCTTTGCCCGGGTGAGCTTTCAAATAACGAAGAACTCGTAAACAGACTTGTAGATGAATTTCTCTTGGATTATGCATAAACCGACTAATAACACTCACATAATAAGCTATGTCCGGTCTAGTATGAGCAAGATAGATGAGTTTTCCTACGAGACGTGGATACCTTACCTTGTCCACCTTCTTATCACCTAAAGCTTCTCCTAATCGATGATTTTGTTCGATTGGAGTTGCTGCAGGTTTGCTTGCTGTCATCCCGGTTTCCATGAGTAAATCGGTAACATATTTTTGCTGTGAGATGAATATTCCTTGCTTAGACCGAGCCACCTCTATGCCAAGAAAATATTTCAATTTCCCAAGGTCTTTAATTTCAAACTCTTGGTTCAAACACCGCTTCAACACTCCTTTCTCTGTTTCATCGTTCCGGTTACAATGATATCATCAACATAGACAATCGGAATCGTGACTCCCTCGAAGCGAGTGTGTTTGATAAATAAAGTGTGGTCTCCTTGGCTTTGTTTATATCCATTCGCAAGCATCACATGAGTAAACCGACCAAACCAAGCACGGGGAGATTGTTTGAGGCCATACAATGCCTTCTTGAGTTTACAAACTTGATTCCCATCACTGCTACTCGAAACCGAGCGGAATGCTCATGTAAATATCTTCCTCCAAGTTACCATGTAAAAATGCATTCTTCACATCATATTGCTGTAACTCCCAATCAAAGTGGACCGTCAATGATAACAAAATTCGCACTTGTATTCATCTTTGCTATCGGCGCAAACGTCTCTTGATAATCGACCCCATATGTTTGAGTATAACCCTTGGCAACCGATCCGGCCTTGTATTGTTCTAAAGACCCATCCGCCTTAAGTTTCACCGTAAACACCCACTTACAGCTCGATCGTTTTCTTCCCTTGAGGCGGCGGCACCAATTCCCAAGTACCATTCTTTTCCAGTGCTTCCATCTCTCGCATTCATAGCAAGTCTCCATTCTTCTTTAGATAAAGCTTTAGACAAAGAGTTAGGAATAGCAATTGAATTTAATGTGGACGAGATAGCTATGGTGATTTTGAGAAAAATTAGTGAAAGACACAAAATTGGCCGAGTGGGTATAAAGGTGTTTTTGTGCGGTTGCGAGTTCCTTTCCTTAAGGCTATAGGTTTGTCAAGATCGAGTCTCGGGTTGTGTAGAATCGGATGAGGGAGAAAAAATGTTAGAAATTGTTACCTCGGGTTCGAACTCGGTACAAGTGATTGATCTTGTTGCGGAAGCGAGAATGGCGTCCTTTTTCCTTGTATACACCTTATCAAACCGAAACCGATCAATCAATCTACCACTGTCCTCTGTTTCTTCGCGAGCAAGAGAATGGTGGATTGGTAAACATGATCATCAAGAGGTTGTTCATGAGGAGCTACATCTCTTGATGAAGAAATATCAAGAGACGGATCAATATCGGAACCGACAATTGTAAGAAGCTCCTCCGGAATGTAAGGTGTAGAAAAATATGGTTTATTTTCAACAAAAGTGACATCGAGTCGAGACATAGAGCTTTCGAGTAGGTGAATGATAACACTTGTATCCTTTTTGAGTGATCGAATATCCCAAAAAATGCATTTAAGGGCTCTAGGATCTAACTTTCCTCGAGTGGTATTATGGACATGAACAAAGGATGTACACCCAAAAATACGAGGGTTAAGGCTGAAGGAAGACCGAACATCGGGGAAGAACCGAGATAAAATTTCCAGTGGACTTTTGAAATCTAAGACTTTAGAGGGCATCCTATTTATGACATAGGCCGACGTTAAAGCGCCTCCCCCAAAACGTTTTAGGAACATTCTATTGGAACAAAAACGCCCTAGTACATTCAAGAAGATGATGGTTTTTACGTTCAGCAACTCCGTTTTGTTGTGGAGTGATGACACCAGATGACTCGTGAATAATACCCTCTTTTTGAAAATAGGAAGACAAAGTCCGATTAAAGTAGTCACGAGCGTTATCCGATCGGATACGTTTGACTAGTACCCAAAATTGATTTTTTATCATAGAGATAAATGTGGGAACAATATGATCGACATCGGACTTTTGTTTAAGAAGATAAACCTAGAAAGTTCTAGGGCAATCATGAATAAAAGTAACAAACTATTTTGATCCGAGTAATGTTTTGGATGGACAAAGGGCCCTAAATGTCACTATGAATTAAAGAAAAAGGAAAACTTGATTTTTTATTGCTTATTGGAAACGATACACGTGTGTGGTTGGCAAACTCACAAATGTCACACTCGAAAAACTTTAACATCGACTCCCTTGAACAAGTCCGGGAACATTATTTTGAAGGTAAAAAACGACAAATGACCTAGACGCCTATGATGCAACCAAATGGTATCTTTATTTAATCGTGAAAAACATGAGACTGGAGAAGATAAATTAATCGGGCTCTGCTGACTTGGTATACTGAAGTAGTAAAGGCCATTGTGCTCTTTAGCAAGTCCAATCTTCTTCCCCGACTCCCGATCCTGAAATTCACAACAACCAATAAAAAAGGTAATATGACAATTCAAGTCTTGGATAAGTTTATGAATAGAAATAAGATTGGTGGATAATCGAGGAACATGAAGAACATTTTTTAGCATCATGTTTTGACCAATTTGGATATCTCCAATACCGGCTACCGTGGTTGTTGTACCATCGACTACGGTTATTTTCCAACTACTCGGGACAAGGTGTATAGGTTTTGAAAAAGCTGGATGTGTGGGTCATATGGTCCGTAGTAGCTGAGTCTAAAATCCATGCATTCCGAAACTCATTATCCAAAACATTTAATCCAAAGGAGAAGGGAGTTTTACCCGAGAGCGTTAATGAACACAAACCTTGAGATTGGTTAGGAGGTGTAGCGGGTTTTTCCACGGATCTTAGCAAGCTCTTGAGTTTTTCCAGATCTTCCATACTGAGTCCTTCTAATCCCTTCGGTGCGTTTTGTGTTGTTACGTAGGCTTGCCTCTGTGACTGTCTTTGCTGCCCACCTCTTTGACCCCATTCTCGGTTGTGAGTTGACGGCTTGCCATATAATTTCCAGCACTCTTCCTTGGTATGCCAGGGTTTTTGGACAGAATTTACTTCCTCTAATATGGAAGTTTCGGTTGTAGACATAGTGAAGGGACAAAAGGTTTAAAAAACTATGAAAAATTACAGCAATTAAGGCTGTACAGTGGCAGATTTCAGCAAAGAAACCCTAAGGCTCGATACCATGAAGAAAATAATATTTGGAAAAATAATTTCTGTATATTAATTACACAACTACAGATATATATATATATATATATATACATAGAGAGTCCTAAGATAGGAAAGAATTCCTAAAGAATAGGAAAATAGAATAGGATCCCTACAGAGTAGGAAAGAATATACAAAATATTTCCTATCTAATTATATCCCGATATTTCCTACAGTCACCTATAGAATTGAAGCATGGTTGATCTCTAGAATCTTAATGCAAGTGGTGTAGGCATTTTTTCTTTTTTCTCTTTGCATGTAGACTGATGGAGGCACAATTTAAAATTGTGGTTGGGGGAGGGGTTGGGTTTAGTAGTTATCTACAGTTACCCTATTTGGCGAAGGGGAAAATAAATTCATAACCTCTTGTTGAGTGGGGAGCATGGTCTCTCTCAGCTTAAACGTGGCTCTGTGAATATTGGCTTCTCCAATGCCTTTCAACTCAGCTGAATGTCTAACAAACAGCAGCACTTTGTAGTTTTTTTTATTGCTTTAGCTTCTCTAAATCCATTGTTAAAATATTAGACCTTGCCACATGATGTGATGCTTGCAATATTGTTAAGTTTGTAATCACATTTTGCTCAGTTATTTCATATGAATCTGAAGCTGCTCAGTTTATCTATGCATGGGTGCCTTCTAAATGTGCTGTTTAATTTTTTATTGAATTTTCTAGCTTGATACAAACACATCATACATCTTTTCAGTGATTTTTGATGGACCAAGAACTTTAATGCAGCCTGTTTGTTTGTCTTGGTTGACTGGTTTCTGAGTAGAAACCTAGATTGGTTTAGTTAACTTTGATAGGTGAGTTTTGTTAAGCAATCGCCTACATCAATAGTTTAGTTTTGGTGTTTGAGAGATGCTTCTGTAACTATTCCTCATGCATGGACTCACTTTTCCTTGATAATGAGCTCAATGTGTAATATTGGTAATTCGAGAAGTGAATATGGTCTGAACATGACCTTCCTATTCTGACACAATGTTAGAGTAATTGCTTCTAGTTCCTGCTCTAATACCTTGTCGAGTAACTGCTTCGTCGAAAAGTTCAAATAATGGAGATATGGAGAGTTGCACGCTTAAAAATTGACAGTTTACATGCAGGGGTTTAGAAAAATAATGTGTCCAACTTTTGAATTGCAATTCCTATAGGGCTTTGACTTCCATTATGTTTTTTATTTTACTACAACTTCTTTGCAGGTTTTTGCATTTGTTGCTCCTAAAATTATTGGTGGAAAGAATGCACCGTCTCCTGTAGGTGAGCTTGGAATGGTTGAGATGTCACAAGCCTTGGATTTGATTGATTTTTGCTTCGAGCAGGTTGGTTATAATTCGTGTCCTTTTTTTTCTTTTTCCTTTTTTGTATGGATGAGCTGTTTCCAAGACATCATATAAATGATGATCTTTGTGTAACATACTCTTCAATGCTTTAATCTGGAATTTAGATCTATTTGACAAATTTGAAATCACTTCCATTGTTCGTAAATGGCTCTTTAAGATTCATATGTGATTCATTTGTTTGTGATGTGGCATAGGAGGAATAAAATAAGAAAAGTTTGACCAAAAACAGGGAATGGTTATCACTAAAAATATCTTTATTTTGGCAAGTGCATTTTTATGCCAATTGCCTCAGTTAAAACATGGGAATCTAAATCCTTAAGATGCCTTTGATGCGACCACAATGAGGGCAGAACCAGCAAAAGGGTTATCACTGGTTTTCTGGGCCTTGTTTGACAGCTGACCAGCTCTTCCAATGGACTTAGAAGAGAAGAACATGAGTGACAGAGATAGCGTTAACATGGTAACTTTTGGTTGTGGGTGATATCTGTTTACAACCCTTGCACTGGCATTTCCCAGAGGTTTCTAATAAAACTGTCCCTGATTCATTGAACATTTCAAAAAATCAAGAAAAAGCCTCCTTTCTAGAAGTTGGAACTTTTGAAACTAGACATTTATCATACATGCCTTGAGCATTAGATTAGACCCTTAAGTTAATAATGAACACACCAATCAAAAAGGGAAGTGACAGTTTATGACAATTTTATTACTATCCTATTCTGAATACCCACTGTCCTTTCGCTGCTATTTTATCTATTGTTGCTTGTTATTTGAAGAATAGATCTGTGCTCAGTTGGATTCGTTGGACCACTTTCTTATTCAAGACTGAATCCATTCAATTTCTAAAAAGGATTACTAATCCTTAACTTTTTGAGAAATCCTTCATCAGTGGTTGTGAATGACTGAGTTTTTCTCAATCTTTTTTTTGTTAATCTGTTTGTTATTGCTGCTTGATTTATTAAATTATAAGATATATTTCACTAATACTAAAACAGATATTTAACTAAGGAATTTTTGTCACACAATTGACCCTTGATAATAAATAGCGATAAGAGCCATGAGATGAATATTCCACTTTATTCTTGTCTGGGAAAATACTTGTACCTGATTTTTAAGCTTCTGAACTATATGTTCCATATGTTTGTCACCAAACATAAGCTATAAAAAATCATTACAGTTGACTGAAAGTTTTTGGTTATTGTTATTATATTCCCGGTTAGTAGAAGTCATTGTATGTTATTATGTTTCCATCCAGTTTGAAGAGACATGTAGCAAGGCAATCAATTTTGGTAATCTTTTCAAGTGAGATATAATTCTTCACTTATCAACTAATATTTTAATACAATGGTTCATGGAAAAGCATTTAATTAGTCATTATTAACCTTTTGGATCAATTGAAGTACGCAATTATTATGAATTTCTTTTCCCTGAACTGCTACATGACCAATGAAAGTTTCCTTGATAGTATTGTCTTCTATGTCAATTGTCTTGGGACATGACAATTGGGCAGTCAATTGTCTATGGACATGACAATTGGGGGGGGGGGGGGGGTGGGTGTTTCTGTATATTTAAGCCTCTTCTAGTTGTAACTGTCCTCCGCATGATTTTCTTTGTGCTGAAATTGTGATGTCGTCCATTTATGTTTGCAAAATGTCATTCCTCCTCATTGATTATGCATCATTGATGCTTCCTGTGCTTGAGCTACAGGTTGGACCAGACATGCTTATCAGTGGATTCCTACAGCCTGTACCGGACTTGGTACCAATTATACCATCAGAGGATGAAACCTTTGCAATTGATCCTACTATCACCCCTTATGAATCGAGCATCATATTCTTCTATAAAACATGGGATCCTTATGGAGCATTTTCAAATTTTTCTCCCCATCCAATTCAAATGCCTGAAGGAAGTGGTGATTATGTCACATGGTCAAGCGTAGAGCACTATTACCAGGCACTCAACTTTTCTGCACAAATCTATTTGCTCTTTGTCAATCTGTATAGACTCTGTCATAATTATTTGAATTTTAGGCACACAAGTTCTTGGGGGTAAATGACCCTGTGGCAAAGGATTGTGTTGAGAAGATCAAATCTGCAAAGAGCCCAGAGGAAGCAGCACGAATGGGAAGATCAATGCAGAAGCAGCGCCCAGATCTGGTGGGTTTCCTAGTTTTAATTGAACTTCAGCTTGGGCCATTTACTGATATATGACTATTGATAATGGGCAAAAGCTCATTTTGTTATGCTAGCATTCTAACTTTGAACCTTTGGAGGAATCAGCATGAAACAACTTAAGTAAACTTGACCTGCAAGAGTAAAGTATATCACAAGTCTTTTCTTACGACCACTCAGTAGTCAAGAAAAACATAGACAAACTTATAAGAAACATAATAAAATATAAAATTGCATGATGAAAGTTGTTGATGAGGGCGAATCACGTTCCCTTATCAGTTCTCATGAGATGCAGACATTGATTCTTGTAGGTTGGATTTGGATAGTCATGCAATCCATATAACTAATTAGCATGGAGTGGTATGATACTTATCAATGCAGAAATCTGTGCCCTGAATTGTCAAGAAACAATTTTGATATTTCACGTCCATGGTTTTTTGGTCTTTTTAGCTGCTAGCCTCTATTTAGGGAGGAGAGGCTGGGAGCTTGAAATTATAAAACTCTCCAAAAGTATAAAAAATGGGGCAGTAATTTATTCACTTTATGTTCTAACATAAGATGCCTGCAACCCATTACCATGTATCTTTCTTGTAATAGAAGAAAATACTGGAATTGAATCTCTTGAGTATATCTTCCTGGTAATCTGATAAAAGCCAATACTGTGTGATGAACCAGGTGAGGTCTGACTGGGAAAGTTTGAAGATTGATGTTATGTATCGGGCATTGAAGTGCAAGTTCTCAATTTATCCTCATTTGCAATCGATGTTGCTCTCAACTGCTGGATCTGTTCTCGTTGAAGCTTCACCACACGATCTATTTTGGGGTGGTGGGCGAGAAGGGGAAGGCCTAAATTATCTGGGCAGGCTTCTGATGCTCATAAGGTCAGAGTTTCTTGGTGAGTGTTCTACACCAAGTGAAAGCCCTTGCACATCCCTATAACATACAGTGAAAGAAACCAGGTCAACAATGGATATGGGTTGTCTGTTGTAAGCTGAAGTGTTATCCACCGTGGTGAGTAATTCTCTATTGCTATCATAATTCACCATGAGTCAATCAGTTCGCTTCTCCTTTTTGTATGTCGTAGGGGTGCTATCATTCACGTTCCCTGTTTCAAATATGATTGGTTAGATAGGTAATTTAAAAGAATTAAAATATTTATAGAGTATTTTGCTATGTTGAAGCCTAGGAAGTTTTGTGCTAGAAGCATGAGTAGGACTTACATCCAATGGTGTCTGGCTGCTCACTCAGGTGATTTCTGCTCTGTGGAAAACCTATTATTGATCTGAATCCTGTATTCTTTCAAATAAGTTATTTTGTTTTTTCTTATAGGAGAAATAAGTTTTTTTAACCTTGGAGATAATATGGGTTCTTCTTCCCTCCTCTGCATTTTGCACAGTTAAGCTGTTCTGGGCCAGGCCATTAGTGTGATTTGTGAAATGAAAGCAAGGCATGCCATCCTGTTCATCGTTTATATTTTTTCTATACAATACTCGGGATAGATGTCACTTGTAGAAAGAGAAAAGGATGTACAACTTTGTGATAGTTGTTTATTCACCACTCAACACATGTTAGTAACAAATGGTGTGCTTTCCATCATTAAATCACATGCACCTATTACAAATTGTCAAATCAATCAATAAAGAGCTTTTTTTTTTTAGCAACTTACTAGTTTTTTGTCCCCCTTGTGGTCACATATAACTTTTATAAAATCATTTTTAATATTTTAATAAACTTTACCAATTTAAGTCAATGAAATCAAAATCAATCTACATTAAATTTGGAAATTTTTTAATTTTAATAAATATTTTGTAATACTCTGTACAAATTTTAAAAATATCATCTAACTACATAGACAGTCTCAATATTATCATCAAATGAATTTTTATATTGATTTTATCATTAAATTTTAATAAGTTTTCAATTAAGGAATTTCATCTGTTTTTAAGACTTTTATTCATATTTTTCATTCAAAATGTATTTTATTTATTTATTTATAAGATATGATGTCCTTTTATAGAAACTTATTTTTTAAAAAATGGTTATAATGGAAGTCCTTAATTGAAAAATTAAAATAGTTTAATAAAAAAATTAGTAAAAAAAAATAGTTTGGGTGCAAAATTGATACTATTCTAATAGTTTGGTGGTATATTTGATGTTTGCTCTAATATTTAATATTGCATGTGTTTTTATTTTTAAATTTAAAAATATTTTATGATTATATTCGATTTATATTACACAAAAATATAATTAGAAGAGTCAATAATTGACACTAAAGATAGTGCTAGAGAAACCTATATTAAAAGAGTATTTATGTTTAGTTATTGAGTTTATAATATTGATTAAGAAATTTCATTATTCTCTACACGATAATGATTTTTTTTTTAAAAAAAATTATCGTTGATGTAATTTTAAACATTAATTTCCATTACTTGAAATGTAATTATAAACTTACATAAGAAAATGATAAGATTTAAGAGATGAATTATTTGATATGTCTATGTTGTTTCAAAAAATAAGAAATCATATTTTTTTTAAACATTGAAGAATTACGAAGGGTCCTAGTTTGTACACGCTATTGACCTTCGAACAGTTTAGAACAATCCTCACAACATTTCAAAATTATTTCAACCTCAAACACGTTTTAATTGACTCTAAAAACTCAAGAACTTCAAATTAAACTCAAACTCAATTAACTTTCGGGTCCTAGTTTTTTCTCTTTCGAATGCTAAAACTACTACCAACAAACTCTCTTCGTAATATTAGCACATGAACACCAAGATTTTTGGATTACGTAGCCGAAATGGAGGTTGTTGGAGTTTTCTCTCTCCTTTGCTCTCTCTCTCTCTCTCTTTACATTTAGGACCAAAATGTAAGAGAGATGAAATTCAGGGACTAGTCAAGTTCAGCCAGTATATATATATATTTTTTTTAAAAAAAAATTATTTAATATTTTAAAAAGATACCGTCATTTCATGCCTAAACACGATGCTGTTTTAGCCCCCAGGAATAATATATAACCATGCCAAATAAATAATGTATTTAAGTATGTGGCTATAGTAACCAAACATTAAAGCACCTATTTCTTTTAGGTTTGGTTTTTTTTTTTTTAATTGTTCTTGAAGTCTGATAAACTGGTGTCAATGGGTGAAGCTATCACTTCAACATAAAGATTGGGCATGATTTCAGTAGAGAATAAATATGAAACAATATCTTCATGACGATTTAAGTCTTTAGATTGAGTGTTCTTTTCCCAGATTTCTGTGGCAGAAGCATCGTGTTTCCTTTAATCATTTTGAATAATTGTTTGGGCATGCAGGTATTTTGACAGAACAATGAAGCAAGGTTGGTCCAAAGAAGAAGAGCCGTAATCCCTTTCTACCTTTTTTTCTTCCTTCAAAAAGGCTTAGAGGTGGAGGACCCCTCAGGCTTGCTAGGAATTGATTTGATTTGAACCTAACCAAATGAAGAAACAGTCAACAAATTTCAGCTGCATGTTTCATCACCTAAGAGATCATTTTAGAATCTAAGTAGGCCAACAGATGCTAGGAAATGAACTTTTAAGTTATTTGAGATTGAATGTCGATTTTTTTTTAAAAAAAAATTGATTTTAAAGATCTCTAAATTTTTAATATATATTTTTTTAGATTTAGTCTATTTAATAATTTTTTATTATCATTTTTTAAAAAAATCCAATTCTTGGTATTTTGAGCTAAAACTTTGCACGCATATTATAAAAAATTCAATCCATTTTATAGAAAAATTTCAAAATTTTTCAAAATTGAAAACTTTATTTATTTATTTATTAAACGTTAAAAATATAAAAAAATAATAAAAAAAATAATTCTGAAATGATTCTAAATTTTTGAGGAGCTCCACATAAATCTTATAGAATAATTTTCATCATAAAAATATTTATATAATTATTATTTTTTGAGATAAATGATAAAAAAAAAGACTAAATATGAAAAAATTAAAAATTTAAGAGCCCCTAAAACTAATAAAAAAATTTAAAAATTCAATATCAAATGAGTTAAAGTTCAAGAGTAATTAGACCCTCTTAACCATCTAAGTATGGCATGATATCAATCTCCTGTACTGTATAAAACATTTCCTATTAAATCGCAATATGACAATGATTTAAATGCATGCCCCACGAAACAGGATCCTAGCATGTTTCATATTGAAGTCGTGCGACCAAAATCTGCATATATTTTAATTTGGTTCCAAAGATATTATTATATTATGTTGTTGATGATGATCGATAGAGAAGATGCTGTATAAATAAAATAAAAAAATTACTTTTTCTGTCTCAAAGTATTAGTTCCTTTTGATTTTTCAGAGTCTAAAAGAAACATTAGTCATAGTTTTTTTTTCCCCTAAAATACCCTTCTAGGCATTCATTGACTTTTTAGTTTGTAAAAAATAAGAAATGAAAAAAAAGAAAGAATTGATTAGGGGTATTTAAGAAAAATACAGTATTTAAAATTTTAATCAGATAATTATTTTGAGATAAATATAAATATAAAAAGAGATAATTTCTTTGAGACAGATGAAGATGAAGTAAACAAATTAGATCAATTATTTCTATTTTTATTTAGATAACAATAAGTTTAAGATCTGGGCAGGTCATCCACACCTTGGTGTGGATTTTTGGCAGGTCGAATGGTCTCATCTTTTTCCTTTTTGCTGATGTTGTTAAAAATATGGGGATAGACATAAACTTCATATCATCAATTAACATTAACTAAATGAAGAACAGTAAAAGGTATGAGAGATAATATATCAATTACAATTAGTTTGTTGCCCTCACCTTGTAGGAGTTTAGTAGGCTACTTTATAACTTTTTTTTTTTTTTTTTTTATAATTTTTAAATTAGAATGAGCAATTCATTTTGCTTTTATGGTGAATGTATTTCTAGTTGCATTGGAACGTGTCTTTTTATATAGTAAACACTCGTCGTATTTTTTATTTTCAAAACTTTTTAATATTCACAAGTAGTCCAATTGATGTTTGAATTCTTTAAGATTATTTTTTCTAGAATTGATGTTGTAAATTTTCTTTTTGTTCTCATTCTTCAATAACTATTGCAATAATTTTTTCTTCTTATATTTATAACCTAAACCCATTATTCAATTTTTTTAAAAAAATTCTAATATAATTCTTGGAAAGATTAAATATTTAGTGTTAAAATGTAATGAACAAACAAAAGAAAAAATGACTGCAATTCTTTTATATATATATATATATATATATATATGAAAATAGGTGCTGCTATCTTGTTTCCAACATAAACATCATGTGAATCACTGCTTCACTACTATAATCTCCACCAACACCATCTCATTATCATTATTGACACTTACAATTTATATATACTATTATTATCATGGGTATCATACAACTAGTATTACAATTACTTTGATACTAGATTGAAATATGCCTTAACTCTATGAAAGCTCAAACACACAAAAGCACCAACAATCCAAACTAATGACCAACAAATCAGCCATCAAATAGCCTCAAATAATCAACAAATATACCTTAAGTAATTAAGCAACTCAATACCTAATAAGACCACGTCTAGGTATAAACCTTGACAAATCTTGATTTTTGAGAAACTTTGATAATGTCGAAATTACTCTTCCTATTTGTCATACCCATTTTGACTTTCTATTTATTTTCATTCAAAAGAAAAAAAAATTGCATGTTGCATAGTTTATTTTTGTTTTTCATGATTTTTAGATATTTTTATAAATTTGTAAGATTTTAACCTTTTCGGATTATCCCCCATTTTAATTTAAAAAAAAAAACAATATGAGAAAATGATTTGGGATCCAATCAAAAAAAATGTGAAAGGTAAAGACCGAATAACATTAAATTAGAGATGTAATTGGAGAGAGATAAAAAAAAAAATCAAATGTCTTGATTGATAATTTATC